AGCCTTTGGGACCAAAGTTGTTGGATAAGTTCCCAGCTGCTGAGAACAGTTTGGTGGGTGTCTGTGGGGGGTCCCACTATCCCCCACCTGGGAAAAGGCCCCAAAGGTTACCTCGGGGCCCAAGTAACCTGGGCCCGGAGCAGGATTGGAACCCAAGACTAAAGAGTCCGCAATTCATTGAGTAACTCCGAGGCTCACTGGCTGCCTTCTCCGTCTTTTTTTTTTTTTTAACTTATTTATTTATTTATTTATTAATTATTGATTTCAGAGAGGAAGGGCGAGGAAGAGAGAGAGAGAAACATCCACCGGCTGCCTCCTGCACGCCCCACACTGAGGATCAAGCCTGCAACCGGGCATGTGCCCTGACTGGGAATCGAACCCATGACCTCCTGGTTCATAGGTCGATGCTCAACCATTGGGCCACACCAGCCGGGCTCCATTTTTAAAAAAATCGTGGTCAAATATACATAACATAAAATTTACCGTTCCTCCATGTTGCGTAAGCAGCTCGGTGGCATGAAGTACACTCACACGGTGTGACCGTCACCACCATCCACCCTCGGAACTTGTTTCATCTTGCAAAACGCAAAGTTCGTCCCATGAAACACAACCGCCCCGCCCCCCCTTGTCCTGGCAACCACTTTCTGTCTGTATGAATGTCCCTCCTCTAAGCGCCTCACAGGCGTGAAGCCACGCAGTATTTGGTGTTCTGGGCTGGCTTATTGCATTTGGCACAATGTCTCCAGGGTCCACCCATGTTGTAGAATGTGCCAGAATTTCTCCACCCGGTTATGACAGAGGGGGGGAGCTCCAGAGGCTGTGGGGGCGTCGGGGAAGCTGTAGGCACCGGGGGCAGGCCTCCGAGAGCCCCTGGTGCGGGGAGCAGGCAGGGAGCTCGAGGAGACAGTAGCCCTTATTAAGGCTCAAAGAATGTTTAATGAGGCAGGGCTTTCACGCCACGGACCCTGCCCAGAATAATGTCTTTACATTTTTGTTGTTGTTAATCCTCCCCCGAGGATATTTTCCCCATTGGTTTTTAGAGAGAGTGGAAGGGAGGGAAGAAGGGTGAGGAGAGAGAGATGTGAGAGACACATCAATTGTCTGCCTCCCACACTTGCCCCAGGATTGAACCTGCAACTCAGGTACATGCCAGGAATCAAGCCCTGGACCCTTTATGCGAGGGACAATGCTCTAACCACTCAGCACACCG